TGCCTCCTGTATGTTAGTGAGCACTAGTAACCAAAAAACACAGCCCACAGTAGAAGGTGATTTTGAATGGATTCCTAGACAGTACATTCAGTCAGAGAAGATAATGTCAGTAAAAGGTTACACAAACAGCAGCAAAAGGCAATAAATGTGCAAGTACAGGGAGCTACAGTTTTTGTAGACAAATATTTCAGTAAAACCCGGTACAAAGCAGAGAGCAAGATACTAAGTATAAAGAAATTCCATTATTGCGCCCTTTCATAGCTGTCTGAATGTTAGCCAGCACGGAACAGATGTCAAGCCTGGTTGAAATATATGTATTCCAAATAATATAATCAGATAAGAGAAAAGAACCCTTAACAAGTATCAGGAAGGTTTTAATATTTAGCTTAAAACCTAGATCACAATCATCTTGAACATTCAGGAAAGTGTCATCCTCAAAGCCCAGAAAAACCAAAAGGCTAGAATTAAATTTAACTTTTTTTTAATGTACGAAAACCCAAAGGACTCCACAAAATTTTATTAAATAAATGTGGAACTCAAGATGTGGGGCTTGATTTCTCCTTCTTAGATTAGCTAACATCTAAAAGCAGATAATGGCTGTTTATTAGTGTGCCCTCTGTATTAGGAAGAAAATAACTAAAGATGAAGAGCAGTCTTGACTTGGAACTTACTTATGAGACAAGAGGTTAGTCCTGATTCAAGTTAGAAGATACCATCTTTTTAAAAGACTTAAATTTATTTTGAATAGGCAAAACATCTGCGTAGTTTAAAAATCAGAATGACGTAAAATAGTGAAAATTTTGTTTCCTTCACTCTCCTAGATAACCACTTTGGTTAGTTTTTGTTCGTAGAAAGCACGATTTCTAAAACATACTTCTTCGGTGTTTACTTTCAAAGCTGTAAGGTGCCGTCTGTGGTTCAGAGAGGCAGTGGGAAAGCACAAACAGTTGTGTGTGACTTCTGATAAGCTCCTGTTTTCTGATATGTGATATACCCTATCTGGCCTGGCTTTCCTTCTGAGTCTATTCATGGAAGCATTTGCTTAGATCAGCTTGTTCTGCCCTGCTCTGAGCAGATTCCACTCTGTGTGCTTCTGCTTTAATTTAAAATCTTTGAATGCTTCAACATGCGTCTCAAACTGCTCCTTTTTCTTGAGAGCTGCTCCATGCTTGCCTTCATTCCTGTATTTCCTCCACCCTCTTGGTTCCTGTGGGCCTGTGCTGATGAAAACAATCTTCAACTTCCTTCCTTTTGAATAGCCCAGTACTCTGTATCCTCTGTCCCTACTTTCTCTTTTCACCTGGTTTAGATAGGACACTTGAAAATGTGTGGATATTCCTTTTTGAACATCATTAAATACATAGTAAATTTGAAACACTAGAGGATGGAGGCCAGTGCAGATGATACATCTCAGTATGTACTGCCAGTTTTCTACACCACGTTGTTTTCTTTGTTTCTGTGGAAACCCTTTCAAGAGGCCTCTGATTTCATTTACTACCTGGGTGCCCTTTAAGATGCAGTATTGGAAAAGAAAAGGACCAGAGAGAACCAGTCTGGCCTCCTAATGGAACAGATGAGCAAAAACCAGATTTTTTGGAGAGTCAGTGACTTGTCCAAAGTCACACAGCCAGTGAATGTCAAAGTCAAAACTGAAATTAGATCTCCAGATTTCTAGTTGAACACTTTCTCCCATTATTTCATGCTGTTTTAAACCTGCTTCAAATTTAGGGGCAAAGAAATCTAATGAAAATCCTTCAGAAGTTTCTTTCCTTACCTGACATGGTCAGAGAAGAAGAGGAAACATCAACTGTCGATACAAGAGATGAGGAGAAGGTGCTAGAGGATGTCTGAGTGGCTGAAGCCGAAGAGCACATGTGTTCAGTATTAAGATCACTGGTCACTGGTCACTTGCGATGCTCCGAGTCTGTTTACAGACAACTCCGTGGAAACCCAAACCCCAAGATTCTACAGGTGGTGATAGGTTGGTGGGAGAAGGATGTCACAAGCAGGCAGTTTAAAGGTACGAGGTGGCCAATAGGGAGGTCAGCTTCCCAACAACAAGACAGGATTGGATGGAGGGAGTAGTAGGTGAGCTAGAACACCACCTAAATGGCTGAGCTCTGTGAAGGTGGAATCCTACGGGACAGGTGGGATTGCCTCACGTTCCCCCAGGATCTTCTGTTAGGGAAATCATCTCAACATTTCTTAAAGATGTTCATTAATATAAAAAACTATTACTTAATTATAATATATTTTATAACATGTCCCACCCATTTAAATTATATGTACTGTTGATTAATATCCTTAGGAAGGAGCAACATTTAGGTTGAACAGTTACATTTGTTCTGAACTTCTATCAGTTGGTCTGTTTAATGAACTTGTCCCTTTTTTAGGAGCACAGGAAGGGATTAAGGATCTCTTTTTGTAACTTGGTTCAAGAATTGGATGAATTTGTTGAGTGCACCTTGTGGGGGAAGATGTGGTCCAAGGATCTTTCCATTTGGTTTCCTCTCCTTGAATCCTGTCTTCCTTGCGCTAGGCTGGGCGAAGCCAGGTCGCACTTGCATCTCTCTTCTGCCTTCCTTATTCTCTTCCTTACAGGCATTGTGTGTGGGACAAGGCTGTATCTGGCGTTCTTCCGCTCATGGATGTTACTTTCTGTCAACTTCCAGCAGCAGGGGTGCTCTTTCTCAGTGCCTGATGCTTCGCAAAATGAACTCTGCCCATTAGATACAAATGCCAGACAGCTAGAAGACACCACTGTTTGCAGACCTTTCCTCCTCCAGCCTTTGGTTGCAATTCTTTTCCCCATAATTTGTTACCTCTGGCTCCTTGGGCTGCACAGGCATCCTGCCATCCCACTCTCTTATACACGAGAGGCCTTGCTGCTATTTTCCCTTTTCCTTCTCACATAGAGTACCCAGTGTGGCAGTTAGAGTAGCCTCCTCCCGCCTTGCAAACAGGCACTGTAGAATCTGGGATCCCTGGGATTCTCTGCCTGCCATGCTTGGGCGCACTGCAGGCAAGCTGAGGAGGAGAATAGTTCAAGAAAGAAGAGGCCCTTCCTGGAGAACAAGGAACACGCAAGGTGAACAGATACAGGAAAAGAGATTCGTGTGGATTTTTCACTTTCTGTGAGAAGCGAGTTGACACATTTTTGGCCTCATATTAACAGAAGAGACAGTGCAATGTATATTACATACATTTTAGGTAATCCGATAGTACAGCAATTAACCATGAATTCTGTACACTAAAGAGAATAATCTTAAACATTTTCCCTCTTTGATGTCAGAGCACCTCATTTACTCACTCACTGGCAGGTGTGTACACTATGGGTGGTTTATATGCTCTGGTTTTGTCTACATGGTTTCTCCTTGTCCCATTTTTAAGGAACCCAACATTGTATGGCATAGTGCATGTTTTCCTCCTGATGGTTGTTTACTGTGATGCACCATGCACTAACCTGACTTGATGGATTTAGTGGGGAGATTTCAAAGGAGTCTGTGAAAAGGTCATTTTGGTGAGTCACACTGTGCACGCAAACGTAAGGACAGATGCCTGCAGTCAGTGGCTGGATTGCTTCTGTTCTTGCTTCCCTGTTTAGTAGAGCTCACTAAGGGCTCCGGGACTGTGATAAAGTGAGCTAGGGCTGAGTTGCCTGTGATCTGTATATGTGGTATAAGCTGGTTTGGTGGAGGAAATCTATGGATCTATTCCTTGGTGGTACATTTTTAGAGGTGCCTAGATTGATCTATCTGGGGACTTTTCCAGTGTGATGAGCAGGAGGTATGTGATATGAGATGCCATGCTTCCCCGGGTGAAATAGAGAGGGACTGCTCTTTAAGACGGGCCTGTCAGTGTTGGGGACACCCCTTACTTACCAAAATGAGGTCCCCCACAACTCCTCAGGCTATGCTATTTTGACACAGAAAATAGGAGTAATAAGAGCAAAGGTTGAATGATAAAACCCACCAGTACAACCAAACTTCTCACCAAAAAAATGTGTGTTGTTTCCAGGAATGGCCAAGGGCATCCTGTTGCTTTCTAACCGGTCTCATTTGGGAAATCGGCTTCCGTCTATTCCAATGATTAATTTTGAGGCTTTGCTTTCATGTTCAGTGAACTCTTCTTCCTTGAGACCTTGCTTTCCTCCATGTCACACCCCACCAAGTCCCCTTCGTTTTATGCCCTGAATATCTTTTGAATCTGTCCTCTCCACTCCGTCAGAATCCTAATACAGAACTTGCCCGATCTATTGCTTCTAGGTCCTGATTAGTGTATATATTTATCGATCCCTGTTTCCTCCCAGTCCATTCTTCACATAAGATATCTTTTTAATAGGCAACTTGGAAAGTTCTCAAAAATACTGCACAAAAACATTGCTTTAAGAATAAAAACAAACTCTCCTCCATGGCCTTTAAGACTCTGTGGGGTCTAGAATCCCCTTCCTTTCCCCAGCCCCATCTTGTGTCACTTTTGCCCTCACTGAATTAACCTTAGTTAATCCTACCAAAGGCAGCTGTATATAAATGCTACCGAAGGCAGCTCCAAGTACTACCTTTTACTATCACTCCTAGCCTTGTTAAGTGATGTTCACGGCCCGTTTTCTATCAGGCTTTCTTTAAAAACACGAACTTGAAGTTCACTAGTGGTTGCATTTGATGGCATAGGTTGTATTGAGACTAAAAATAAAGTGTAAAGTGAAAGAATTAAACTGTGTCAGTCAACATGTGTGTATTAGTGACACCTTAGAGCTCACGATTGGGCTAGATTTTATTGGGGACGCAGGAGTTCTGGCCACCTGTGGTCTTAGATGTGTCTTATTTGTCGAGCCCTTTGCACTGTTCTGCTGCCTTGTCTGCTTTCAAGATGGGGAAGCAGGAAGAAGGGAGTATTGGTTGATACCAGGTGGGGTTGAGTAAGTGGAGCAGCAGAGTGCAGAGTAGGGAGAAGAGAGGACCTACTTTTGGGTTCTGCTTTTCATGTTCAAGGAGACTTCATTCTATGCAGAGATACTGGCTGACCTAAAATTTGTCTAACAAGAAAATGTATTAACAAGTGGAAAGACTGTATCCCAGTTGGACAGCACCTGCCAGGGACTTTTTTCATCGCTGTCAAAGTTCCTTTGAAAAAGGTAAGCAGTATTCTTTCAGAAATCCACATGCACCATGTAGAACACTGGTTCTCAACCCTGGTGCACCCCAATTTTCCTTTTTGGTAGCAAATACTTTGTAATGACCCTTTAGTATCCTGAAATGAAGTTCATATAAGTACACCCTACTTCCATACTTAGTTTTTTAAATGAATGAATGAATGCATTTATCTTATATCTTTTTATTAAGGTATCATTGATGTACACTCTTGTGAAAGTTTCACATGAAAAACAGTGTGGTCACTACATTCACCCATAATATCGAGTCCCCCCCCATACCCCATTGCAGTCACTGTCCCCCATCAGTGTAATATGATTCCACAGGGTTACTATTTGTCTCATCTGTGCTACACTTTCTTCCTCATGATCCCCTGGGGCCACACCATGTGTTCGAATCATAATACGCCCCTATCCCCTTCTCCTGCCTCCCCAACCCTCCCCTTTGGTTACCGCTAGTCCATTCTTGGGGTCTGTGAGTCTAATGCTGATTTACTGCTTCAGTTTTGCTTTGCTGTTATACTCCATAAATGAGTTAAATCATTTGGCATGTGTCTTTCTCTGCCTGACTTATGTCACTGAGCATAATACCCTCTAGCTCCATCCATATTGTTGCAAATGGTAGGACTTGTTTGTTTCTTGTGGCTGAATTATGTGTATGTACATCTTCTTTATCCATTCATCTACTGATGGACACTTAGGTGGCTTCCATATCTTGGCTATTGTAAATAGTACTGCAATAAATATAGGGGTGCATAAGTCTTTTTGAGTCTGGAAGTTCCCGGGTCAAATGTTATTTCTGTTTTTAGTTTTTTGTGGAACTTCCATATTGCTTTCCACAATGGTTGAACTAGTTTACATGCACTCCCACCAGCAGTGCAGGAGGGTTCCCCTTTCTCCGCATCCTCACCAGAATTTGTTGTTCCTAGTCTTTTCTATGCTGGCCATCCTGACTGGTGTGAGGTGAATCTCATTGTGGTTTAATTTTAATTTCCCTGATAATTAGTGATGTGGAGCATCTTTTCATGTGCCTGTTGTCCATCTGAATTTCTTCTATGGAGAAGTGTCAGTTCATATCCTCCACCCATTTTTTAGTCAGGTTATTTGCTTTTCAGGTGTTGTTGCGTGTGAGTTCTTTCTATATTTTGGATGTTAACCCCGTGTCGGATATGTCATTTACAAATATGTCCTTCCATACTCTAGGATGCCTTTTTGTTCTGCTGATGGTGTCCTTTGCCATACAGCTTTTTAGTTTGATGTAGTCTCATTTGTTGATTTTTGCTTTTGTTTCCCTTGCCTGAGGAGATGCATTCAGAAAAAGTTGCTCCTGTTTTTATATTCAAGAGGTTTTTGTTTATGTTTTCTTCTAAGAGTTTTATGGTTTCATGACTTACATTCACATCTTTAATCTATTTCTAGTTTACTTTAGTGTATAGAGTTAGACAATAATCCAGTTTCAATCTCTTGCATGTAGCTGTCCAGTTTTTCCAACACCAGTTGTTGAAGACGCTGTCATTTCTCCATTGTATGTCCGTGGCTCGTTGATCGTATATTAATTAACCATATATGCTTGGGTTTATATCTGGGTTCTCTAGTCTGTTCCATTGGTCTATGGGTCTGTTCTTGTTCCAGTACCAAGTTGTCTTGATTATTGTGGCTTTGTAGTAGAGCTTGAAGTTGGGTCATATAATACCCCCTGCTTTATTCTTCCTTCTTAGGATTGCTTTGGTTATTCAGTGTCTTTCTGATTCCATATGAATTTTAGAAGTGTTTGCCATAGTTCATTGAAGAATGCTGTTCATATTTTGATGGGGATTGCATTGTATCTGTAGATTGCTTTAGGCAGTATTGCCGTTTTGAGAATAGTAAGTCTTTCTGTCCATGAGCACAGGAAGTAATTCCATTTATTGGTATCTTCTTTAATTTTTTTTAGGAGTATCTTGTAGGTTTCAGGGTATAGGTCTTTCACTTCCTTCTTTAGGTCTATTCCTGGGTATTTTATTCTTTTTGATGCAATTGTGAATGGAGTTGTTTTCCTGATTGCTGATTCTGCTAGTTCATCATTAGTGTATAGGAATGCAACAGATTTCTGTGTATTAATTTTGTATCCTGCCACTTTGCTGAATTCAGTTATTAGGTCTAGTAATTTTGGAGTGGATCCTTGAGCGTTTTTTATGTACAACATCATGTTATCTGCAAACAGTGACAGTTTGACTTCTGAATGTGGATGCCTCTTACTTCTTTATGGTGTGTGATTGCTGCGCATAGGAACTCCAGTACTGTGTTGAATAAAAGCAGGGAGACTTGGCTTCTTTGTCTTATTCCTGATCTTAGATGGAAAGCTTTCAGCTTTTCACCATTAGGTATGATGTTGCCTGTGAGTTTGTCAGGTATGGCCTTTATTATGTTGAGGAGTTGCCCTCTCTACCCATTTTGAGAGTTTTTTATCATGAATGGTGTTGAATTTTGTCAAATGCCTTAGCATCTATGGAAATGATCTTGTCCTTTTAATTGATATAGTGTATGATATTGATGGATTTTTTAATGTTGTTGCATCCTTTCATCCTTGGGATGAATCCCACAGTCATGATTCATGATCATCTTGATGTATTTTTGAATTCAGTTTGCTAATATTTTATCGACTATTTTTGCATCTATGTACATCAGGGATATTAGTCTGTAGTTTTCTCTTTTTGTGGTGTCTTTGCCTTGTTTTGGTATTAGAATTATTCTGGCTTCATAGAATGAATTTGGAAGTATTTCCTCTTTTCTGGTTACCAATTCAATTTCATTGCTTGTAATTGTTGTATTCAGATTTTCTGTGTTTCCTCATGGGTCAGCCTTGGAAAGTTGTAGTTTTCTAGAAAGTTGTCCATTTCTTCTAGGTTATCCACTTTGTTAGCATATAATTTTTCATAGTATTCTCTAATAATTCTTTGTATTTCTGTTTGGTCTGTAGTGATTTTTATTTCCTGATTTCTGATTCTGTTTATGTGTGTAGATTCTCTTTTCTTCCTGATCAGTCTGGCTAGGGGTTTATCTATTTTGTTTATTTTCTCAAAGAACCAGCTCTTGGTTTCATTAATTTTTTCTATTTTATTTTTCTCAGTTTTATTTATTTCTTCTCTGATCTTAATTATGTCCCTCCTTCTACTGACTTTGGGGCTTATTTTTTCTTTTTCCAGTTTCAATAATTGTGAATTTAGACTATTCATTTGGAATCATTCTTCCTTCTTTAAGTAGGCCTGGTTTAGTATAGACTTTCCTTTTAGACCTCCCTTCGCTGCATCTCACAGAAGTTGGGGCATTGCACTGTTGTTTTCATTTGTCTCCATATATTGTTTCATCTCTTTTAATTTGGTCATTTGGAGCATGTTGTTAAGCCCCATGTGTTTGTGAGCCTTTTTGTTTTCTTTGTACAATTTTTCTCTAGTTTCATATCTTTGTCATCTGAGAAGTTGGTTGGTATAATTCCAGTCTTTTTGAATTTGCTGTGGCTCATTTTGTGACCTAGTATGTGGTCTATTCTGGAAAATGTTCTATGTACGCTTGAGAAAAGTTGTATTCTGTTGCTTTTGGATGGAGTGTTTTGTAGATGTCTGTTAGGTCCATCTGTTCTAATACATTGTTCAGTGCCTCTGTCCTTACTTATTTTCTGTCTGGTTGATCTGTCCTTTTGACTGTGTGGTGTGTTGCAGTCTCCTAAAATGAATACATTGCATTCTGTTTCCCCCTTTACTTTTGTTAGTATTTGTTGCACAAAGTTGTATGCTCCTATGTTGGGTGCATAGATATTTATAATGATTGTATCATCTTATTGGACTGATCCATTTATCGTTGTGTAATGTCCTTCTTTGTCTTTTGTGAGATTCTTTGTTTTGAAGTTATTTTGTCTGATAGAAGTACTAGAGCTCCTCATTTTTTCTATTAGTTGCATGAAATATCTCTATCCATTCCTTCACTTTTAGTCTATCTATGTCTTTGGGTTTGAATTGAGTCTCTTGTAGGCAACATATAGATGGGTCATGAATTTTTATCCATTCTGTAACTCTTTGTCTTTTGATTCATGCATTTAGTCCATTTACATTTAGAGTTATTATCGATAGATATGTACTTATTGCCATTGCAGGCTTTAGATTTGTGGTTACCACAGGTTTAAGGGCAGCTTCTTTACTACCTAATAGTCTATCTTAACTCACTTATTATACTATTACAAACACAATCTAAAGGTTCTTTTTTTCTTCCCCTCCCTTTTCATCCTCTTCCACCCTTTATATGTTAGATGTTTTATTCTGTACTCTTTGTGTATCCCTTGACTGACTCTGGGTAGCTGTATTAATTTTTCATTTGATTAGTAATTAATTTGTCTACTTCCTTTACTGCGGTTTTGTTTTCTCTGGTGACAGCTATTTAGCCTCAGGAGCACTTCCATCTGGATCAGTCCCTTTGAAATACACTGGAGGGATGTTTTGTGGGAGTTAAATTCCCTCAACCTTTGCTTATCTGTAAATTGTTTAATCCCTCCTTCAAATTTAAATGATAATCTTGCTGGGTAGAGTATTCTAGGTCTGAGGCTCTTCCATTTCATTGTATTAAATATATAATGCCCATCCCTTCTAACCTGTAAGGTTTCTTCTGAGAAGTCTAATGATAGACTGATGCATTTTCCTTTGTATGTGATCATTTTTTCTCTCTGGCTACTTTTAATAGTCTGTCCTTATCCTTTATCTTTGCCTTTAATTATTATATGTCTTGGTGTTTTCTTCCTTGGGACCCTTCTGTTGGGAGATCTGTGCACCTCCATGGTCTTAGAGACTATCTCCTTCCCCAGATTGGGGATGTTTTCAGCAATTACCTCCTCAAAGACACTTTCTATCCCCTTTTCTCTCTCTTTTTTTTCTGCTACCCCTATAATGTGAATATTGTTCCATTTGGATTGGTCTCACTGTTCTCTCAGTATTCTTTCATTCCTAGAGATCCTTTTTTCTCCTTGTGCCTGAGCTCCTTTGTATTCCTGTTCTTTAATTTCTATTTCATTTACCATCTCCTCTACTTCATATAATGTGGTTTTGAATCCCTCCATTGTATGTTTCATTTCAGATATTGTATTCTTCAAAGTTTCATCTCTTTCTTGAATGCCTTCCTGAGGTTTTGAATATTTTTCTGTAACTCCATGAGCATGTTTATGAATTTTATTTTTAATTTTTTTTTCAATAAGATTGGTGAGTTCAGTTTCACTTGACCCTCTTTCTGATATTTGTGGGGATTTGGTTTGTACCAGGTTCTTTTGATATTTCATTTTAGTAAAAATAACTTTTTATAGGAGACGCCCTCAAGTGCCCAGAAGCTGTATCTACTCTTTGGAGCTGCTCAGCCCCTGGAGTGATAGAGGGGTGGCAGATGAGTGGCAATGGTGGCTGCCTGGAGGAAAGAGCTCTTTTCTGATTCCTGCCTCCACTGCCAGGGTCAGTGGGCCGAGTGCTCAGGAAGGAGCCTCTTTGCTACGCCCTTGTAGCTGCCATAGGCGGGGCTGCCTTCTGACTGGCCTGGCACAATGGCAGGGGGCAGCAGGTTTGTGAGCTGGTGTCGGCTGGGAGGAAAGAGCAGCAGGCTGCTTATCAGGGTGGGGGCCTCAGAGCCATGTTGCCAGCCAGGGGAATGGAGCACCTGAAGCTCCTGAAAGTTTCCAACCTGCTGGGCTGAGTGCCCTGGGACAATTTTGTCCACCTGTCCTTTTTGCTGAGCAGCAAGTTCTGTGCAATCCTTGCCCCTTTAGCAGCCCTCTCACTTTTGGGAAGTTTCTCAGAGTGTCTGCCTTTCTTTTGTCCCATAGAAGCTGGTTGTGGGTACCTGTTCTCCACAAGTGGCTGGAATCTCAGTCTCTCCAAGTATTGTGCCTGTCTTAGCTTTCTAACCCCATAATCTCCAGAGCACCATGTTAATGTATGTTTGTGCTCCCAGTGAAGATCTCCAGGGCTGGGTGTTCAGCAGTCCTAGGCCTCCATCCCGTCCCTGCTCCATTTCTGTTCCTACTGATGGTGAGCTGGAGTGGGGGAAGGACTTGGGTCCCACTCGATCAGCACTTTGGTACTTTACCCTTTTATGTGAGGTCTGCTCTGTTCACCAGAGATAGGAGGTCTGTCTCAGCCTTCTTTCCTGTTGCTCTTTCAGGATTAGTTGTATTTGCTATATTTTCGTATTGTATGTGGTTTTGGGAGGAGGTTTCTGTCTCACCTCTTGCCACCATCTTTAAGCCAATCCTTGGTTAGGGAAATTTTCAACTATTATTTCTTTAAATAAGTTTTTCACACCTTTCTCTCTTCTCCTTCTGGGACTCTTATTATAGTGGGAATGTTAGGACAAATGATGTTCTTCAAGAGCTCCCTTTACCTGTCCTTACTTTTTATTATTTTTTCTTTCTGCTGTTTAGTTTGAGTGTTTTCCATTACTCTGTCTTCTGAATCACTTATCTATTCTTTTGCATCTTTTATCCTACTGTTGATACCTTGTAGTGTATTTTTCATTTCATTTACTGTATTCATCATCTCTGCTTGGTTCTCTTTATGTTTTCTAACTTCTTATTAAGGTTCTCATTGAGTTCATCCACTCTTCTCTCAAGTCTGGCAAGCATCTTTATAACCATTAATTTAAACTCTCTACCAAGTTGACTGCTTAACTGTTTAGTTCTTTTCCTAAAGTTTTTTTATGTTCATTTCAAGCATATTAACTCTCTCTTCCCATCTTGTTTGACTGTGTTTGTGTTCAAACAGTGACGTGGGTTGATTATATTACTTAGGTTGCACTTCAGCAGCAAGTAACAGAGAAAAAAACTACACAAATACATTTGACACAATAGAAGGCATTTCTCTCTCACACAGAAGTGTAGTAGTTGGTAATCTAGGATTGGCCTGGGGTCCTCTCAAAATCTTAGGGTTGAACTCCTTTCTTCTATCTGCTCCTGCAACACTAAGCTAGCACTCATCCACAAAGACCAGTGGCTGCTGGAGCCATCACCTCTGCATCCCAGCAGTAGGAAAGAAGAAGGGAAAAGAGAATGCTTCTTCCCTTTTAGGACATTTCCAAGAAGTTACACACACACATATACACGCGCATACACACACACTCACACTCACACCTATTCTTCTCCCATCCCCTTGGCCAGAACATAATCATATGGCTTTGTCTGACTGCCAGGAAACCTGAAAAATGCAGTCTTTACTCCAGGTGGCTTGGATAAAATGAGAATTTCAGGAATGAGGAACATCTATGTGTGCCACCTTAATTCTGTCTAGTCTGGAGGAAAAAATATGCCTGTTACATTTTCTTTATGAAGACTTCACATCAGTAATGAAAAGCCAATGGAAAGGAATTAAAACAGCAGCTGCAAAACATGCTTTGTTGTGAATCTGACTGACTTTCAATCAATCAAATTAAAATCCAAGGTGGAAGTCTATCCAGCTACCACATTGAACACAAAGCTCATGCTGTTCTGAGTTCCTGGCCTCAGCTGCCATCTGAAGAACTGCATTCCATGACTTGCTGTTATTTTAGAGAAGACTCATCCTTAAGGTGACATTCCATCCTTAAGGTGACATTCCATCCTTAAGGTGACATTCCATCCTTAAGGTGACATTCCATCCTTAAGGTGACATTCCATCCTTAAGGTATTCCTAAGGTGGTGAAATAGAAGGCTTAACATCTCTCCCAACTTGATGAGAAATTGACTGCAATTCCTATTTCAAGACCAACACGATTTGTATTTGTATTTTCAAAAAAAATCCAAAAACAATTTATCAAAGAAAAATTTTCTTTATTTAATGGCATTAGATTATTCCACAAAAAAACAAACAAAGAAATAAAAAAGCCAATGTAGAAAAAGTTGTTCTCTCCCTTCTGGCACATTTACTGTGTGTGTCTGTGCTTTTCAGTGTACCTAATTCCTCTTGAAATTGCTCTTGTCTGTGTGAGTTGAGAGTTAATCAGATTCAGGGTCACTAGATTGAGTAGGCTGCACTCTTCTTAAGAAGTAGCTGGAATACTGAGTCAGTATCTGTGTTTTTTAAATATAAGATGGCTCATTTAAAATGTGGGTGTCACAGAAACTCGGAGCTGCAAACTTCATTGTACACTTTCCAAGCATTTTGTTTTTTAAAACCTAGAGAAAAAAGGTTCATGTTTACCTTTAATATTTCCTTCCTTCCAAAATTTGCTGTTACTCCTTCACTAATTTTTTCATAGCTTTGTTGAGGTATAATTAACAAGACTACAGATACAATTTGGTAAGTTTTTACATATGTATACACTCATGAAAATGATGACAAGGTAATGAATATGGATCACCCCCAAAATATTTCTCCTGCCCCTTAGTCATCACTACCTCCCATCTCTCTCCATCTAACCACTGATCTGTTTTCTGTCACTGTAAGTTAATCTGAATTGCTAGAATTTATGTAACTGGAAGCATATTTATTATTCTTTTGTCTTGTTTCTTTAACTTAGCATAATTTGAGATTCATCTATGTTGTTGCATGTAGTTTATTCCTTTTATTTCTGTTATTCAATTATTTCAATATACCACAATTTGTTATCCACTCACCAGTTTATGGACATTTGGATGGTTTCTAGTTTTTGCCTGTTGCAAATAAAGCTGCTATGAAAAGCACATGGGTATATGGTTGCATTCCTTTTAGATAAATACCTAGGAGTGATGGCTGGATCACATGGTAGATGTATGTTTAACTTTTAAGAAACTGCCAAAGTATTTTTGTAAAGTGTACCATTTTACATTCCATCAGCCATTTATAAGAGTTCCAGCTGCCACCACATCTTTGCCAGTACTTGGTATGGTCAGTTTTTTTAATTGAAGCCATTCTGATAGATATGTAGTGGTATCTCATTGTGATTTTAATACATATTTCCTTTATGATTAATAATGTATCTTTCCAAGTACTTATTTATCATCTGTAAAACTATTTGGAGAGGTATTTGTTCAATCTTTGGCCCATTTTTATTGGATTATTTGTTTTCTGATTGTTGAGCTTTGAGAGCTCAATATATATTCTGAAATCAAGTCTTTATTAGATCAGATTTTCCAGTCTGTAGCTTGTCTTTTAATTCTCATAAAAGTCTCTTGAAGAACTGAAGATTTCTCTTCCATTATCCCTCAGAAGTTTTATGGTTAAGTTTTGTATTTAGGCCTAGGACCCATGTTGAGTTCATTTTTATTTGATGCAAGGTATGCATCTAAATTTATTCATCTGCATATGGCTATCCAGTTATTCCAGGGACATTTGTTGGAAAGACTAGCCTTGTCTACTGAATTATATTTGCACATTTTAAAAAATTCAAACATGTTGAGAACTATTTTTGAACTAAGAATAAGGTATACTTTTCTACTGATCTATTTGTCTACTTTGAAGCAAATACAACACTGTCTCAATTTCGATGCCTTATAACAGGCCTGATGTCAAAGAGTAAGTTATCCAACTCTGTTCTTCTTTTTCAAAGTTTTGGCTGTTCAAATTCTTGTATTTCTATCTGAATTTATGAATAAGCTTGTAAATTTTTTAAAAAATGAGGGGAGTTGGAGGGAGGATTCAAGATAGTGGTGTGAGAGGTGAGACAGAGAATTCCTCCCAAAACCACATATACTATGAAAATATAGTTAATACAACTAATCCTAAAACAGCAACAGGAAAGAAGGCTGCACCAGACTAAATACACGTGGAGAACAGAGCAGACCTCATGAAACAGGGTCATGTATCAAAGCCTTGATCTGGCGGGACCCAAGCCCTACCCTGACCCCAGCTCACTGGTGGGAGGAAGAGAAACAGAGCAGGGAGGGGATGGAAGCCTAAAACTGCTGAACACTAAGCCCTGGAAATCTGCTTCCAGCAGAGACCTACATTGTGTGGTGCTCTGAAGGTTGGTAGGGTTGGGGAGCTGGGACAGGTGGAGTGCTTGAGAGACTGAGATTTGTGGAGGATGGGAATTTACATCTGGCCACTCTGGGACAAATGAAAGGCAGGAGGTCTGACTGAGAGGCTTCCTAGCAGCGAGAGAGCTGCTGAAGGGGTGGGGTTTGCACAGAGCTTGTTGTACGGGAGAAGTGATATGTGGACAAGGTTGTCTAGGTGCACTCTGCCCATCAGGTTAGGAACTTTGAGGAGCTTCAGGCCCTCCATCCCCCTGGTTGCCTACTCAGCTCCAAGGTGCTCCCCCCCACCCCCCACCCCCGACTGTGACATGCAACCTGCTGCACCTTCCTGGAATGTGGAAACCAGCAGTCACTGCACTGGCGTAAGGCCAGCCAGAAGGAGGCCCTGCCTACAACAGCTAGAGACAGATAGCACACACTTGGCCCACTGGCTCTGACACTGGAGATAGGCACTGCAGCCAGGAAGCAGAAAACAGCTCTTTCCTCCCACTAGGCACCAGCACCATTCCCCTGCGCCCCCAGCCTCACTCCAGGGGCTGAGCATTTCAAGAGACTAGAGCTTCTGAGCACTAGGGTCACTACACAGAAATATGAATTGCAAAAGGAACATGGTTCAGACCAAAATTGCAATAAACCCAGAAAAGGGCCAAATGAAACTGAGCTCACCAATCTTCCTGAAAGAGAGTTCAAAATAAAAATCATAAACATGCTCATGGAGGTACAGAAAAATATTCAAGAACTAAGGAATGAATTTAAGATGGAGATTCAATCATTAAGGAATTCCACATCTGAAATGAAACATACAATGGAGGGATTTAAAAGCAGATTGGATGTAGCAGATTAGAAGAGATGGTAAGTGGAATAGAAATTACTTAGTCATCACTACCTCCCATCTCTCTCCATCTAACCACTGATCTGTTTTCTGTCACTGTAAGTTAATCTGAATTGCTAGAATTTATGTAACTGGAAGCATATTTATTATTCTTTTGTCTTGTTTCTTTAACTTAGCATAATTTGAGATTCATCTATGTTGTTGCATGTAGTTTATTCCTTTTATTTCTGTTATTCAATTATTTCAATATACCACAATTTGTTATCCACTCACCAGTTTATGGACATTTGGATGGTTTCTAGTTTTTGCCTGTTGCAAATAAAGCTGCTATGAAAAGCACATGGGTATATGGTTGCATTCCTTTTAGATAAATACCTAGGAGTGATGGCTGGATCACATGGTAGATGTATGTTTAACTTTTAAGAAACTGCCAAAGTATTTTTGTAAAGTGTACCATTTTACATTCCATCAGCCATTTATAAGAGTTCCAGCTGCCACCACATCTTTGCCAGTACTTGGTATGGTCAGTTTTTTTAATTGAAGCCATTCTGATAGATATGTAGTGGTATCTCATTGTGATTTTAATACATATTTCCTTTATGATTAATAATGTATCTTTCCAAGTACTTATTTATCATCTGTAAAACTATTTGGAGAGGTATTTGTTCAATCTTTGGCCCATTTTTATTGGATTATTTGTTTTCTGATTGTTGAGCTTTGAGAGCTCAATATATATTCTGAAATCAAGTCTTTATTAGATCAGATTTTCCAGTCTGTAGCTTGTCTTTTAATTCTCATAAAAGTCTCTTGAAGAACTGAAGATTTCTCTTCCATTATCCCTCAGAAGTTTTATGGTTAAGTTTTGTATTTAGGCCTAGGACCCATGTTGAGTTCATTTTTATTTGATGCAAGGTATGCATCTAAATTTATTCATCTGCATATGGCTATCCAGTTATTCCAGGGACATTTGTTGGAAAGACTAGCCTTGTCTACTGAATTATATTTGCACATTTTAAAAAATTCAAACATGTTGAGAACTATTTTTGAACTAAGAATAAGGTATACTTTTCTACTGATCTATTTGTCTACTTTGAAGCAAATACAACACTGTCTCAATTTCGATGCCTTATAACAGGCCTGATGTCAAAGAGTAAGTTATCCAACTCTGTTCTTCTTTTTCAAAGTTTTGGCTGTTCAAATTCTTGTATTTCTATCTGAATTTATGAATAAGCTTGTAAATTTTTTAAAAAATGAGGGGAGTTGGAGGGAGGATTCAAGATAGTGGTGTGAGAGGTGAGACAGAGAATTCCTCCCAAAACCACATATACTATGAAAATATAGTTAATACAACTAATCCTAAAACAGCAACAGGAAAGAAGGCTGCACCAGACTAAATACACGTGGAGAACAGAGCAGACCTCATGAAACAGGGTCATGTATCAAAGCCTTGATCTGGCGGGACCCAAGCCCTACCCTGACCCCAGCTCACTGGTGGGAGGAAGAGAAACAGAGCAGGGAGGGGATGGAAGCCTAAAACTGCTGAACACTAAGCCCTGGAAATCTGCTTCCAGCAGAGACCTACATTGTGTGGTGCTCTGAAGGTTGGTAGGGTTGGGGAGCTGGGACAGGTGGAGTGCTTGAGAGACTGAGATTTGTGGAGGATGGGAATTTACATCTGGCCACTCTGGGACAAATGAAAGGCAGGAGGTCTGACTGAGAGGCTTCCTAGCAGCGAGAGAGCTGCTGAAGGGGTGGGGTTTGCACAGAGCTTGTTGTACGGGAGAAGTGATATGTGGACAAGGTTGTCTAGGTGCACTCTGCCCATCAGGTTAGGAACTTTGAGGAGCTTCAGGCCCTCCATCCCCCTGGTTGCCTACTCAGCTCCAAGGTGCTCCCCCCCACCCCCCACCCCCGACTGTGACATGCAACCTGCTGCACCTTCCTGGAATGTGGAAACCAGCAGTCAC